GCCCCATCCCCACTCACAGCTTACTCGAGCAACACACCGTCCCATCCCCCACTCACAGCTTACTCGAGCAACACACCGCCCCATCCTCCCCGACCCTGCCCTCCACCGCCGGCTGCCTGTGCCGCTCGGCGACGAGGGTGCTGCGGTTGAACGCCTGGGTGCTGGGCGGGACGTCGAGGGCGGGGTTGGCGGGGAAGAAGTTGACGGGCTTGAGCGAGACCCGGATGACCTCGCAGGGCATGACGGGGAAGTCCTCGGCGCGGGTGACGTGCTGCAGGCCGAACTGGAGCCAGAGGACGATGTCGGCGTCGACGACGGCGTCGCGGCGGGCGGCCCAGGCGCGCACCCCGGCGCCGCCGCGCGACTGGTTCGTGTAGCGGCCGCCGGCGTAGAGCTCGCCGTCGCGGTACCGGGTGACGTAGACGTTGTGGTCGGCGAACTCGGCGCGCTTGTGGTGGAAGGAGTCCGGGTGGGCGAGCATCTTCTGGAAGCCGGGGACGTGGATGCGGTAGCCGACGGCCTTGCCGTTGACGGGGTTGCGGGAGGCCGCGTTGAGGACCTTGAAGGTGCGGGCGGCGTCGTAGTCGGTGTCGAGGCCGGCGGACTCGGGGACGGTGGTCTCGGAGACGGTGTAGCCGACGCCGTGGGGGTTGAAGGCGGAGACGGGCATGGGGTGGATTTCGTCGTAGACGAGGCGGTTGGCGTGGCCGTCGATGGCGGGGTCCACGCGGAGGGAGAAGATGTGTTGGTGGTGGACGGCGAGGACGCCGGGGTGGACGATGGTGCCCCACGGGACTTCGACGCCTTCGTCGATGGGTTGGGTGCTGATGATGCCGGTCGCCCTGACCTCGTAGGTCATCTCGCCGGCTTGGTTGAACATGAAGGCCATGATGTATTCATAGTTGGCGACCGTGATGATGGATTGGACGACGAGTTCCCGACTTCGGACAACAGCTGCCCGGCCGGTTCGGTAGTTGGTGTGCTTCCAGCCAATGCCGGCGTCTTGCTCATGGACACAGACTACATTTTCCATGGGCATTGGCTCTCCGTGCGCGGTTGCCAAGACAGCGCTCAGATAGTGGATGGAGCCTAGGCAGTCGCAGCCAAGTTTCAGATTGTTCGCCATGGCGCCCGCGCCGGCGTCGCCGAGATCGAAGGCCGCTTTCTTATGGAATGGCGCCCGAGGATCAGCATAAGGGATGTTCATGTCAGACAGTGCCAAGCGGTAGAATAGACTCCGGCCAGCATATCGCACCTGCAACATTGAGCATTGCCTTACTCTCTCAAGTCAAATCGAGCTTACATCGTAGAGCACCACACCCTCCCTCTGGTTGTAGCCCACTCGAAACGACCATTTTTGCCATTCAATGATCTGTCCGGTCTCCCCAACTTTAGTGACTTTAAAGCTGGTACCTTCTGGCTGCACCACATTCAATGGCTTCAAGTCGGTCCTCAACTTTTGATGCTCGGGAGTGTACTCGTTTGGTGGCGGTACCCAAAGAGCCTGGGCCTCCTTGGTTGCATGATCAGCGCCTGTAGGGCACATGTCAATGCGAATGACCTTGAGGTCTACACAGTCCACGACCGGAGAGATAGCGAGTGGAAACGCATAGTGGTTCGAGTCCATGTTTGAGGGGTCGTTTGGATCACGCATGTACAGAAAGCATTGGTACATTCGGCGGTCGTCGTTGATACCGTCGGATCCTAGAAAAGTAAGCCACTCCACGAGTTCTAATACATCGAGCGAGGATACCGTAAATCCAAGGATCGCTGATGACGGCCGTTCCCTCCGGCAAACCCAGTTTGGCTATCTCAGCCTTTACTCCTTCATCCTCCAATGCGATCTTCTCGACCAGCAAGATCTCCTCCCAGTCGCCAGGACCATGGACATTGGGGCCCAGTCGTACATTGCTCTCTACCCGCTGCTGGGAAAGGTTGACTATGGCTTCGTGAAATTTATCCTGATGCGGCGTTAGTTCGTGGTCCAACAACACAGAGGCAAGCCCTCTCTCCAAGTCCGGCTCAGCTCACAGTGTTGCGTAGATAGTAGCAAACGAAAGTCTTTCTATCGATCTGTGGTAATCTGCCTCGGCTATGCTCAGCGTCCAGGTAGGGCACCAAGTGAGCTTTCTCGGGTTCCTCGAGAGTGATGACTTTGAAAGCGAAGTCTGTGTTGGCTGGGTACAAGCTTCTGATTAGATGTGCAGACTGTTTGATTTCCGCAGCTGTTACTGGGCAGAGAGGATGAGCAGGAATCTGTTTCCCTGCTGCTGCCGATGGGGCATATGACATTTGATCTGCCGACATGATGGCAATGAGTTCACCGGGGTTTGTTGCAATTAGGCAAGTTGCAAGCGAAGTAGAAGGAAAAGCACAATATATATCGAGGTGAACAGAAAGGTAGGTCCTTTTCAAAGGGTGGAAAGATAGATATATAGATACACAACGGTTGGTCCAGGGTAGCAGCGGAAGCGAACTCAGACAAGCAAACACGCAAACAAGCCAACTAAAAGAGACAAAACAGACCAGACAGATTTTGTCTCCAGTCTCCAGGTTGATCGATGATCGATGGACAGCACGTAACGTTCGTCCTAGACATCGTCGGACCCCACTCACGCATATGCCTACCCTTTCAAGCAAAGCGTAACCTTTTCACCCTGAAAGGTTAAGAGAGGATGGGGTTTATTGGGGGGAAAAGCAAGAAAAGAAAAGAAAACAAAGGAAAGAGTACATTAGTTGGTAAAGTAGGTAAGGTAGAAGATAAGCAAGAGGGGTAAAAAGAATGAGGACTAAGGTAAAATAAAGTAGGGAGAAAATAGGGAGTGGGAACTGTGGGGCGATCAGACTCTGACCAGAGGAAGCGAGAGCAGGTAAAGTAAGGGTACTATATTCACGCCATTATTCTCATGCCGCTCGACTAATCCGGCATCTCGGCGACATATTTCTCCAGATAATGCCAAGAGCTGAGGTAGTGCGCTTGACTCCTTTCGGCAGGTCGTTCCGACTATCACACTTCACCATTTCCATTTCCCATTACCTACTGTAATCATGGCCACGGAGAGGTTCAAAGTAATCACTCATCTCCCACCTTTGCTGATCATTAAAGTAGGTAATGTGGAGTGAAATCGGGTGTGTTGGGTCCTGGCATCATCTCGTCAGAATTACCTGTAAGTGGGCAAAAGGATGCGGTCAGATACGAGTACTCTTCTTATCCCTGCAAACAACTAGATGATGCAAAGCATTCCGCAGTCTCGGGTAGCACTTTGGTAGGAGGATCGAGCAAAAGTCATGCATAGAGGGGAAGATTAGGCGTGCGAGAATGCCGAAGAATTCTCAGAGGTGGAAGCTGAAGATGTCAACGGTCTACCATCGAGCAAATTGTTAAAGAGGGGAAAAAAACAATCCAATCCTAAAGGCTTGCCTGCTTCCATTGGAACACACTTTGGTTGTGCGTATCAATCCAACTGAGTTGACTGTTAACCTCAAGGAAGTCAGAAATAACAATGGTTGGAACTTGAAAACTGGAACAATGATTGACAAGGACGCTAATTTAGGGCTCGTTTGATTACAATTCCCACCTTTCCTGCCAGAGTGCCCTGCTTACCTTAAGTACTTTATGATTACCCTATTTCTCTTACGCTAACCTCGTTTGGATTACAACTTGCTCGCAATGATGGGAGACGCAAATTGCCTACTCATCCGCCATGATCAGAATCACATATACGCGCCGAGAAAGAGTTGGGAGATGCCTATCAAGTATGCAACTTAATAAGATGAGCAATTTTCTATTCCCTCATAGTACGAGTATCAGTACTGTTACTTTGACTTTCTCGCTTGGCAAGGAACTTCCCTGAGATATTGATCCCGATATCCTGTACATGCAAAGATATCAGACACTTTCCTTTAAACGCATATCAAATCCCGCAGAAACCCACATCCATCACGCCAACCAACCCGTCGCTTCCACCACCAACAGCCGTGGCTAACCCAAACATGCAGTCAGACCAGAAACGTGCCAGCCGCAGAGGCAGCCCTCGAGCACGAGCTCTCGCTGAATGATAACGACCCGCCTTGCTGCCGAGCACCTGCACGTCTTTTCGACATCCTCTGAAGCCAGATACTTGCAAACGTCTCGCCGATGCACGAGTCCAAACTGAATCAATACAACGGCATGATAGCGGAGCAGCCGAAGGCTTTGCGATGGCGCTTTCGCGTCCAGGAACCCTTTTGATTCGCCTCGGAGGCTTTGACGGATAGAGACTTACTCAAGCCGGAGACTCTCCATTCGCCTGTCGCTCGGAACGAGACCTCGGAAGAGATCGAAGGGATCGCTCCGATTCCGGAGAAGCTTTGCAACGATTCAGCAATACGGCAGCGTGGACACGGCTCTCGAGAATCCCTTTCGAGCTTCCCGTGTCGTGGGTTGCGATTCTCATCCATCGCCGCTGCACGGACGTGCGCAAGACTTCTCTCGGTCATCCCGTCACGACGCGGACCTTGGGGGAGACTTGACGGATCCTACGCCGACGACGTTAACACGCTGCGGTGAGTGTAAAACCCACGAAACGGAGCCGTCCGTGGACCCGGCGGAGAAGCTTCCCGGGTAAGGATCCCGGCTCCCGCAACGGTCAACGCGGACGTGAGTCGGTGTGCCCAGAGCCGGGATCAGAGAATATTCCCAGATGCTGCGGGTCTACGAGGGGGTTGTTTTGGTATGGGATCATGGGACAACTGCTCCGATAACAAATTTGGGCATTCTCGGAGAAGAGGGCACGCAGGAAGGATAGCTTAGCTCATTCTCCATATCCGAAACCAGCAACTCATAAAGACCGACCAGATAAAACCCACACGTACATGAATGTGGAGAAAAGAAAACAAACCAACCGAACCCCCAATAACCCCAACACCACCATCCCCCAACCGAATCAAAACGCCAAAAAAGACTCCCCCGCACCGTACCACCCACCCGCAAAGATCCCACCCCCCCATCCCTACCCCAACTACACCATAACCACGATCCAAATCGGCTTCCCCTCACTCCTCCCCTGCGTCCACCCGACCTCCCCCAACGACCTCCCCGCATCCGCCCCCCCCTGCGTGACCGTCAACCCGGCCGCGAACCTCCCGTCGCCCAGCTCCAGCATCTCGGTGACGCCGACCCCGTCCCCCGGCGGCGCGCCGAGGGCGCGGATGAGGTCCCGGACGCTGGTGCGGGAGGGGACCTTGTGCCTCGTGAAGGCGAAGGGGCGCGGGCGGGGGTGGTCGCAGGGGCGGGTGCCGTCGCCGACGAAGTGGATGGTCGTGTGCTCGCCGGGGGCGAGGTAGGACCAGCCGTCGCCGCCGTGGAGCGGGTGGCCGTCCAGGTACTGGCCCGGTGGCTCGTACGGTGGGGCGGGCGGGGCGGGGGCGCGCGGGGCCGGGGGGGGAGGACCCGGGTGCAGGGTTGGATGGTACGGGGCGGGCCCGCCGCCGCCGGTGCCTGGATGGGGGCTCAGCGTTCGTGGGGGGCGGGCTCGTTGGGGGGAGTGGGCGTTGTCTGGCGGTCCGGAGTAGGGAGGTGGGGGACCGTGGCCGTTGCGGAAGGGGTGGTGGGCGGGGTCGGGTCCGGATGGAGGGTTCGCTAGCGAAGCCAACGTTCTGCCTGGAGGGACACCGCCGTTGGGGACGTTGCCGCTCAAGGTGAAGTATCTGGTTTCTTCGGGCATGTTGATGGTAATGAGGAGGGTGTGGAGAAAGATGTCTAGGAGAGAAGGGGATGGGAGTTGGTACTGTTGTACAAGAAGCGGGGTCGGAACGGTGATGATGTACTCTTGGCTGATGGATTGTAGATTGTGTGGGCTGATCTTGAAGGATGCTTTGGAGGAGGAGAAGAGCAGAGGTGTGGGGGACATACATATATATACCAGAGCACGGCGGCGAGTTACAGCGAATGCAGCGCTCCAAACGACTGGACAGGAACAAGCAGATCCTCTCACCCATGCTTTGATATATCATTGGGTGGAAGGATTTTGTGAGCTCCCGTCATGAAACAGACGGTCATCAAGTGTTAACACATTTTTAGAAATGGCGTCAAATTTGAAAAATGGTTCGCTCCAGATAGTGGAAAAGCTCGGAAGACATGAAGTAAGGTAGCCCAATGTTAACGGTAGATGAAACGCTTGAGATCAGTGACCAGTTGGCGGCTTCATTATTCTTCGCCGTTCTCAGTTTTACCTCAAGTGAGTAATGACGCACATCAACCTACTTTACTCTATTCGCTGTGGGAAGCGCCACGCAATTCTTGGGACTGCCGTAGCCGCCTGTTGCAAGGCAGCAAGAATAAAGTAAAGTGGTGAGGCGGCAGTCAACTAAGTTAGCCTCCAGCAATAACAGCTAACCCGTCGTAAATCTTCCTCTTGACTGCATAGAAAGACCCCTCCAAAGTCCGGGTCCGTAGCTCTGGTAGACTCAGACCGCCACCCTCGACCTCTACTTTCCCAGGGCCGGACTTACGCACTGCAACAAGTCCATCAATCAGGAGCGTTCCTTCGCCTCGGAACTCGGCCGTGTGTCCTGTGGATTGCAAGATCTTTCGGAGGTCTGCCAGTCGCAGGTCGCCCACATGTAGGGGCTGGGCGACAGAGCGCGTAGCAGCCACCAGACTCGCAGGAAGGACATTTAGCGTAGGTGCAAGGTCGGCTGCCTTCTCCGACGCTGCTGCAACGTCATCGAGCTTCGACTCCTCCTTCTCGTCGACGAGCAGCTTTAGCTTCTTCCTGCTGCTAGGATCCGCTACTGCTTCATCAAGTGTAGTGGCGGCCAAATGACCCATCAGGGTGACAACGCTTCGGCCTCTCACGTTCTGCCAGTGGAGGCGTCGAACAAGAGCTTCGCTAAGCTTGACAGTCCAGGCATTAGTATCTACACTCGCATCGATGGTCTGGCCATTAGATGGTGTAAAGACAAAGTCGACGTTCTTGCCGCTATCGTCTACCGCTTCATTCTTGACCTTCTGTCGGCTGTCATCCGCAAGGAATCTTGTCTCGGAAGCATTTCCAGAAACGAGTATGAGCTTTTTGGGCTGTATGAGAGGGATAAGGTTTGATAAACTTCGCTGGTCGTGGAGTCCTGCAAAGTCAACGTATGCGATTCTCAGATTTGCTTCGACGGATTGACTTTTGAATGTGATCTTGGAAGGTCCGGCTGCAAGCTCTTCTGGTTCACCCTCCGACTCGCCAAGCGAGTCTTCTTCCTCGTTTCCACCGCGACCGTTGATGATGGAGGCACCGGTGCCGTTAGCCAGCGCTTCATTGCCAGAAGGCATTGCTGGTTGCCGTCTTTTGTTCGGTCCATCGGCCTGTCGTCCGCTGTCACCTTGCAACCCCGAGTCCTGCCATTTTCGCTTCTGGCCGAAACCTTCCTGCTTTCGAGGTCCATGGTCTCGTATATCTTGGCCGTCAGTTTCATCCCGTTCCTCAGCCCGGAGGTAGTCTTCAGGCCTGATCAGATCGCCGAAGTCATCACCGCGCCGCCGCTTGTTGACGAAAGGGAACATCTGCTCTCTTCCTTTCTTGCCGCGTACGTCGTAGTCGTACACGCCTGGCTGACGCAGCAGTACGTTCACGCCCAGTACCTCCTTTCCCAGCTCTGTTTTGTTGCGATTGAAGCGCGCAGTCTTGGCGGAGGTATTAAGGGCTTTCCCTTGACGCTCTGGATCCGATTCTTCCGAGGAGGAAGAGCTTGTGGATGATGTCTCATCAACTGCATCAGCTGAGGCCTCCAGATCCGTCCCGTTGCTCAATCGTGAAAAATTTTGCGATTGCCTCTGCGATGCAAGATACTGCTGGTAGATCAGTAATTCCTTTCCTTCTAAAGGCACGCCTTGAGCATCCTTGAAGTAAAGATTTCGGCCGCCTGCGTAGACTTGTTCAATGTTCTGGCCATCTTGTCCTGTCTCCATGGCCACACCGTCTCTCCGCTCATGATACCATTTGAATAGCGTACTTCTCAGACCATCCTCGAGCTCATGCTCGCTGCTCTCGTTGCCATAGTCTTCAGTAAGAATGATTAGACTTGTCGGATCTGATGCGATACGCTGTAAGATCTCTTTCGAGAAGCCCCATTCGAGCGAGCTATCGCTGGCAAGAATGACTCTAGGGGCCTTAGTCGACATCATCTTCTCGATGCGCTTACGGTGCTCGAGAAGCTTCAAATACTTGAAATCGAAAGGAGTACTTGATTTGCCTGATGGGTGGCCTGCAGGGTCCTGATTCGGCGTTTGCTTGCTTGTATTTCGCTTGTGCTGTCGATTGGTATTATTGCCGTGCTCGTTTTCAAGTTCCCGGGCAACACCCTCGTCCATCCACTCAAGCATACTTCGGGCATATCTCATTGTCGCGCCGACATTCCTGCTTGCTAGGTACAGCTTTGTCTTCTTCAAGGGGCTGTCGCTCGTAGTGTCCGAATATTCTTTCCGCCATGCTTGTTCCAGAATGTAGGCCAACTCCAACACTCTTGCGCTGGTATCTGTCGGAATTAGAACGGTCCCTCCTTTGGCAGCAGCACTCCGTATCATGTCGAGAAGGATCTCATCTCGCTTTTTGCGGCCACCTGCAGTAGCATTCCTCTCTGCTCCTCTCGCACTGCAGATCATAGCCGTGGGCCTGTGAAGCTCTGCAATCACCTCCGCACCTCCGCCACCAGACCCTCCCAGCCACGCGGCACCAGCGAGCACGTTCTCCCGAGCTTGATTCCAGTCCACCGCGTAGACAATCGATTCCATACCATGCCGTATGCTCCATATCGTGCCGCCCAGCGTGTGTCCTGCATTGTAAGCGGTTATGGTCAAGTCATTCAGTGGCGGCGAGAAGGGCGACGGTAGAGGTTGGTGAGGTTGAGAGTATTTGAGCGGATGGATGAGGGCGAAGTATGAGGCGATCTCTTCGGACGTAGGTGGTTGTAGAAGTATTTGGGGGAAGCTTTCCTTGCTCGATGACGGGTAGCTGAAAGAGCTGTCTCTGAGAGAGCTTTGGGGTATTATGGTCGAGGCGAGAGGCGTAGAAGAGTAGATGTCTTGTAGAAGCGTGCGGCCAAGAGAGATGACGGGTGCCGTGGCGTAGACGGGTATCTGTGTAAACGACGGTAGATGCTTGCAGCAATGAGCGAAGGCTGCTATATGAGCTGGAGTCGCGTGGGTGAGGAGGATGAGGGATAGTGAAGACACATGTCTATACCAGAGGCTGTCAGTCAACAGCATGTACACGGCATTGATTTTGAAGGGCAGGCACCGAGCTCGAAGAGTTTGATTGTATTTGTTCGTGTACATAGAATACAAGCATTGATACTGTGTCACTCATAGAGCAGAGCGCTGGCTTCGAGAAATCTAATCCCCTTGCAAGTGACCTACCTCTCTAGGTCCTTCAGCTTTGCGACGTCGAAATCTCCATCCCATCCAACATCTATGAGAACCTTTACTCCCCCATCCAGTTCTAACAAAGACTGAGATGCTGGCGAAGTGGACTGAGCTCCCAAAAGAGGCGTGAATTGAATCATGTTGTTTTGTCTTTCATCTACCAAGATCCCTGGATGCTGTGTCACCCCATATCCGCGGACTTCAGCATGGGCTTAAGGTAGGAGATCGGCACAGAGAGATGATGATGGCGTGGCAGGATGAACGAGCGTGTTGTTTTGCGGATCTTGTTGAAGGACAGAATGTTCAGAACTTCAGAAGTTCCATGCAAGAGCTCCTTCTTTCAGCCCCATTTTCTTGGCGCGGAATGAGATCCGAGAGTCTCCTCGGAACTCCTTCACATGTCTATAGAAGATTAATTTTACGAGTAGCTGAGGTAGATAATGTCGATGCATTCGTTGAAGCTTTAAGCCAGTTATAGTACATTGATTCAACAATTATGCCGTGTAAGCTCTCAATACGTGCACAGCAATACTTCATCCCCTGACACCCATGTGGCTTCCTTTTCCGCCGCGGTCAACAGCGAAGGGGCTCAGAAGTTCCCCTTGCTCCACACGAACTCAAAGTCATCTTTAAAGTACTTGTTGCGGCTGACACTTATTTGACGTTCCATTAGCGGAGGTCCAGAGAAGAAAACGCCCACCTTCCCCGGAGAACCGTGTAGGTTGCGGATGGACTCGAAGACATTGTCCCAATTGGGCCGACCAAACATTGTCGGTGTCCGCAGCCCTGTGACGGCGCTCTGCTTTGCATAGGTATCATCGCTGACGACGTTCGAGGCCGCCTGAGACTGAGCCTTACCAGTGATATACTAGTCGAGTCAGTCATCTATGCCCTTAGCAGTGGGAGAGGTGACTTGCGGTGTGGATTTGGATTTGGCTGTCCATATCTTGCGCCTCGATTGCCCTGAGCAATGACATGAACCATTCGAAGGAGCCAATGTCACGACAAACCCAGAAGAAGTATATCTTTCGGAGAAATGTTTTCTCGTGAGGGTAATTCATTCTGTACCAGATGCTCTTGAGGATTGAAGCGAATGGCATAATCCCTGTCCCAGCTCCTATAAGGACTGCAATCTCGTACTGAAAGATGTCTTCCCATGCACCACCAAAAGGTCCATCGATGAACACCCGCGGCAGAGGCCTGCGAATTGTAGGATCCACGTCCAGTATGGCAGCCTTTTGATCAATGCCAATCACCTTGGACGTGAGCATATCCTTTGTTTTCTCTTGGTGCTTGAATTCGCATCCTACTGAGGCAGCTATTGAGCGAGTGAAGTCGCTAGTGCAATGCATGTGGACAGATAAGTAATCCTCCTCAGGAGCGCTGGTAAGCATAAGACGACGGTGTTGCCAAAGGGAGACTTCGGGGCAGCAGAGATAGATGTACTAGGCTAAATATCAGTACAAGAATTGGCAAAGGACATGGTTTACACACCTGCCCAATCTTCATCCGTGTCTTTTCCCTCTTGATCTGGATCTCAACCACGTCGCAAGGGTGCCGAATGACCTTCGATATGTGGGTCTGGTACCTCCCGACGACTTCTTTCCTGATTCTTTCCGCCAGCAGGTAGCCGAATCCCCCGAACATCCACCACTGCCAAATGTGACCGTATCGGGCGCTGCATGTACTGGCACTGCTTGGCCCCTCGTTCACCTTTTCGATACAGTAGGCACCGTGCAGAATCGAAACAACGAAGAAAATAACGAATAGGTGATGGGTGTAATAGAACCATTCGAAGTTTGCAAGCCGAAATCTTTTGAGTGAGGTGACGGCAATGAGACCAAGCGTTATGAGCATGACGTATCCAGACCAGCCCGGTATGGTGCCGAAGTTAACGGCGAGAAAGCCCTTGAAGCCCATGCCATTTTTCACAGCTAGCAGGGCAAAGTTGATCCAATGGCCAATTGTATGCACCGAGGCAAAGAAGACCAAGTACCAGCCGACCATTTTGTGAAAAAAGATGCTGATGTCAGGGTGGATGCTAGCACCCAAAGGGGTCCGGTAGAGAATCCAGTTCAGTGTCTGGCACACCGGAAAGATAAGAACGGCGAGATCAAAGTAGAGGACCAAAGCAGCGGCTTTTGCCATGGACGAGGTAATTCCGAAGGTGGACCTGGCGAGGGTAAGATGCTCCTTTGTGTGGGAAGTCCAGAAGCTGTAGGAGAAGATCATGCCGTGGAGGAGTGCGAATGTGGCTACGAGGAGGTATCGGCTACCTGTGACGACCATCCAGTGACCGATTCCTGCTCTCTCCTCTGAAGGGGCTGTCTGTTCAACGGCTACGTCGTTGGACATCAACATCCTGGACAATGGAGGCAGAGTGGACGTCTCTTCCTTCTCGAAGAGGTCACTGCTTGAGTCGGACATGCTACGGTATGGTGCGAGGAAGGCGTCTAAAATTGCAAACAAGAGAACATTCGCTGACGGTAGGCCTCAAGAGTAAGACGAAAGTAACGTAATCTCTCAGAATAGTGGTCAGAAGTAGTATCAAGTGGTGGTGTGCGGATTTGATGAATCAAGACAGGTCAGGATTTGCAGTAAAGAAGAATTGGGTGTACATGAAATATCGGAAAGCGCGACTTTTAGACAAATGGGGGAGCTCCGGCACCCACAGAAGTGCACCAAGCCCTCGAGATAGCACCTGCTTCACTGCGTGTATTCCAAGTTTTGGCGTCGTCTATTGTTATCAAGCTTGCCAGCCAAGACTGCAGCGAGTCAGCTTTTGGCTGTCTACGATTATTTTCACAGCACATATCAAATGGAATGGAATCATGCAATGATTATAATTGCTACCTTAGATACACCCCTAACGCTCCACCATGTTTCTCGACCCGCATGCATGTATCACTAAGAAAACCCAGAGATCCGAGCTCATTGCTGCGAGCTACCGCTGAAGCTGTGGACAAAGTAAACACGGAGCCCTTTACTGCTTGTCATTGATGATGCTTTCGTGAGATATGCTTTGGACTAGCCCCCTGACGACTGATCCACACAAAGAGGACATAAGCTAGCCGAGGGCCCAGTGTCGTAGACCATCACATTCCACTTCCCTGCCGCTGTCTAGATGGCATACTTTCTAGTCCATTCCCTCGCTGTCGATTCGTACCTCGGACGGTCTGTCTTGTAAACATGGGCGATCTCAGGCACCAAAGGATCATCAGGGTTGGGGTCTGTGAGCATGGAGCAGATGGAGAGAAGCACTACGACACACATCATTAGCGCTAAGCTCGCACGTACTGGGACTTCCTCCGCATAAAAACGGGAACAGTATGTAGTACCTTTTGAGATGGTCAAAGCTGGACTCCACTGGTCTCGCAGAATGTCGAGGCATATGCTACCGTTGGAGTTGATGTTCGGGTGGTAGATGCGCGTAGTAAAGTTGACCTTCGGAGGCTTGAATGGATAGTCGGTAGGGAAGTGTATGGCGAGGAAGAAGACACCTCCCGAATATGGGCTATCACCCTGCATTTGTATGTCAGCTCCGACCCCACCACCAATCTGACAACCTCGACCGGAGGCCCAAAGTTGTGTCTACAAGGCACAGCGATAAGGCACGTACGGGTCCCATGATAGTCGCTTGCCAGTGAAACTACACAGAAGCAGAGAATATTAGCCGATGACCTCTGAATTATGTGGAGTCTGCAACATGTGCAGCAATCCAACTGCTCAGCTTTTTGATGATGAGGAAATCACATACCAGATCATCGCCGATAGGTCCTGCTGAGCACGAAGAGGGAGGGTCACTGTCATTTTCTCGTAAGTATGGATTTCTTCTTGAGGCATGCTGACTGCTTCGGCTTGAGGCTGAGCACAAGGGTGGCCGTGGAGGGGCCTTGGGGGTTAACATACCGACCGAGATCTGTCAGCTCCTTGTTGATTCTCTTGAGAGCCATGTTCCTCGAGGTGTGTGTGTTTTGGGGTGGAAGTGAATGGGAAGTGGATGTGGCAGAGAATGAGGGATGTTATTGTATGTGACGGTGAGTTGTACGGTGCTAGGATCTCGTGGTTGTAAAGTCAGCCAAGCCGTGTGAGTTAGCGTCTATTTCTACGCCACGGGCAGCCCGGGTGCGCGCGGGCGAAAAGTGACGCAAAACTTAGGCCTATAAAAAACGGTCGAGAGCGATTTTCGATTCTGGCCTTGGCTCTTATTCGCCACTGCAAGGCGATTGCTAAATGGGTACTTTGCTGGATAGACAGCTGTTTGGAAAGCGCGTCTGCCGAAGTGTTTGAGAATCATGGCAGAATGCAAAACAGAGTTTTTAGGGCAAGGTCTTGAATGCTATTTTTGTGACAGAGGTTACACTCAAGGGACTCTACGTTTTGAGTCGATAACACTTCACTGGCAGGCGAGATATATCTCCAATATCGTAGCCTATTTGATCATTTGGGGAGGGAGGATACTCACGAGCTACAAATATTTCGAATAGCTCGTGAAAGAAACAGTCAATATGGCACAAGAAAAACTGAACCCTCCCAGCACCACTGGTGCCGTATCTTTAAGAGAGCGTCTACATCACTTCACCTGGGCGTACGTTGACGGGATAACCATCCTCTATGTATTACTCATCTGACCCTTCTTAGATGGTTTACGCTCACCATGAGCACTGGTGGTATTGCACTCTTGTTTGCAGTTACCCCCCACACGTTTCGTGGCTTGACGACGATTGGCACTATAATTTTCATATTGGATTTGCTCCTCTTTGTCCTTCTCTCAGCTTTTATCCTCGCTCGCTTCATTATGTTCCCTGGCACCTTCACCCAGTCTGTGTATCATCCAACAGAATCTCTCTTCATTCCAGTATGTGTCTCCAATGGCTTTCCGTTACCTCGCTAACAAGATGCTCACTTCACCCAGACCTTCTTCCTCACCATATCAACCATCATATCATGCATCCAAAAGTATGGCTATCCCTCCACTGGCCCCTGGCTTGTTGTGACCCTTAGGATCCTTTTCTGGATGTATGTGGCGATTACCTTCACCACCGCAGTCCTCCAGTATCATCTCCTCTTCACAGGCAAACCTTTAACACTACAGTCCAGTACGTCTACGTTTCCGAGCGATCCCTTTCTAATTTGTATCCCAATTGGAGTTCTGAGACATGCTTCAAGAAAATCGTACTCATCGACTTCGTTTTGTGACTCCTTTTCCATCTCAAAGAAATAGTACTGACTCTGGAAACTTCAAGTGACGCCTGCGTGGATTCTGCCTGTCTTTCCAGTCATGCTATCTGGGACTGTCGCTTCCGTAATATCAGGATCTCAGCCCCCACATCATGCAATCCCCATCCTCATAGCTGGAACTGCCTTCCAAGGCCTTGGGCTATTGATCTCTGTATTCATGTACAGCAATTACGTCGGCAGGCTGATGTCGAATGGCTTGCCGTCCCCTGATACCCGACCCGGAATGTTCATCTCAGTCGGCCCGCCGTCATTTACGGGCCTGGCCTTCATAGGCATGGCGAATGCTGCGATCGAGGTATTTCCGCATACGTTTGTTCTGGGGACCGCTGCGGTACCGACAGCTCAAGTATTAAAGATTGTGGCTGTATTCCTGGCCATTGTTCTCTGGTCCCTTTCGCTGTTCTTTTTCTGCATATCGTTACTCGCTACTCTCAATGGGATGAAACAGATGAGTTTCCATCTCGTAAGTGAAAGGCATTCAAATTCCCCGTATAGAAGCTGAGATATGGTGTTCGCAGACTTGGTGGTCGTTCGTTTTCCCAAACACTGGGTTCATTATTGCGATGATTGACATCGGGACCGCCATCGATAGCCAAGCCATCTTGTGGGTCTCGAGCGTGGCAACGGTGCTGCAGGTCGCCATGTGGTTGCTTGTTTTTGTAGCACATGCGCGCGCTGTGGCAAAGAAGCAGGTCCTCTGGCCCGGAAAGGACGAAGACCATGACTGCTAAAGATGTGTAGACCAGCAGCAACTGCTTCGTAAATGTTTTGTCGCTTGCACTAGAGAAGTTCACCATCACGTCATGCTATGCGGGATCCTTAGATAATGAATACCAACAGTGGAGACGAATCTATCTTACGCTAGAGGCAACAACCATTCGGTCTGCTTTCCTGGGAAACCAAGTATCACTGACGCAGAAGACGAGCCCGTACGCAACGCTTACATAGATGCATACATGGATGGGTATCATAACAGAATTAAAGATTCAAGAACACCATTCAATCAACGCCCCATAGTCGCCGGAGCTGTTGTCGACATTCCCATGCTAAGGCGGTTAAAGTCAGGAAGAGACGGAAGCCGCTTATCACTCGGCAGCCGTACTCCATCTTTCGAAGGCGTCGGAGACGATCGTTCGCCGGTCGAAGGCACACCGTCCAGGACACTATCGCCAGCTTTCTCATTGTGAACGCTGTCTTCCCTGCTCGCTGCCTCACCATCCTCCTCAACGACTGGTAACGTAGTGCCTCCAGCGCCGCCTCCCCTTTCAGCCGATGGACTGCGTACGGCGCTCAGCGTCCGATCCCGTTTTGGGTCTTCTGTGGCGCCTTCCCTCTCGGTTTTGTGCGCTTGCTTTTCGGCCTTTTCGATGACTTTGTCTGTCGACTGACGCGAGATAGGGAAGCTTGATTGACGATGGGTATCGATTGAGCCATCGAGAAGGTCACCGCTTTGGGCTTGTCGCTCTTGTTCTTCCTTGGTCATGGTGATGCCGCTTATAAACTTGACAAAACGGTCACCGTAGCCTTCAGGTGGGATTGGAGAGATCAGAGAGCTGTCGCTGGACATGCCTTTCCAGAAATGCTCGGCGCGCTTGACGAAGCCATACTGAGACAGTGTGAGCCGATATTGCACATACAGATAGTGTTTGTAGGACACTTACATGTGTCAAGCAATCGATGATCCCAAGATAGTATATCTCTTCCCCCGGTTGACTATTCTCATGGGTAGCTCTAAATCCGCCGTCATCGCTGTAAAAGATGAAGTTCTTCCTTTCCTCCAGCATCTCGTCCGGCATCTTGCTTGTGCTTTTGTCCATAGGTACGGGCTTCTCCTTTTTGATAATCTGCCGTAGTTGCCTCGCTTGTCTTGCGTTCTCAAGCTTAGACGGAGTCCTGGTAAGCATGTTGACCTGTGGCTCTGCCGTACCATCGCCGCCAGGCTGAAACACTTGGAGCGTCTTATCACGAAGGTTTTCCTCGTTGCCTCTCTCCAAGTCATGTATACCAACCAAAAGGGAATAGTCCATGATCTTCAATCTCTGCAGAAGAGCAACATCGCGCTTCATCTGCTCGATGAAAAGGCTTTTCTTCTCGGGCCCAAATTCGAAATGATTATTTCTTCGCAGCCAATTCAGGTCCTTCAAGGTGGCCCTAGGATTGCGCTCCAGATCTTCTTCTTTGTAATTTCGCCCAATCGTCGATCCTTTGAGATCAAAAGTCTGATGTATGTCTCGGTGTGGAGGAAACAAATTGTTCATTACAACAAAGTGAGTTTTTCTACCATAGGGTATCTTGACTCGGTGAAGGCCGTAAAATTGAGAAATCAACGTGTTGGGATAACGCTCGACATGGGCGTAATATTCTCGCAGTATTTTCCTCAGGAGCTTGTGCTCAGCATGGTGTATGGTTTTGATGATGTACTTGTAGTCCCGAGAGAAATAGAAGAAGCTTCCACTTTTACCGGGAGAGCCCAGCTCCGACAGGATGTACTTGCTTGTGAGTGACATCAAGTAGTCTGCTGGATCGAGCTGGAATTTCGCTCGAAGATGGCGAAACACCCAAGGCGCGTAATCCTTGAACTTGAAGTCGTATTTGGCTGACGGAGTCAACTCGTTACCGGTGCTAAGATTTGTGAGTTCAAGCTTCTCCAATGCTCAGGGCATGTCTTACATATCAAAAGAGAATTTGTGTTTGGCATCGAAATCTGCGTTTGCAAGCTCTCGATCTATCTTCGCATTTGTCCTCGAGACAGTAAACCGGATACCCGTCAACATGTTGTAAGCGGTGACCCAGTTGACATGGTTCATGTCGACCTTTGTTCCTACGACCACTCTATCATCTTCCTCTTCTTCCTTCCTTTGCCTTCGGCTGGCTCGTTTTTGCCGGATCGTCTCAGTCCATCGTGCTACGTCGCCGTCGAGAGGTACTTCATCTAGATACATATCAGAATGTACTGATCGCGTCGGCGCTCGTACCAAGGTATTCGATGCTCGAGGGGTCCGAGATGTTGGGGAGAAGCGTCCACTCTCACTACCGCCATCGCTTGCAGTGTTAGGTAGCGAGAAGTCCCTCGATGTTCGGCTGGTCGATACCCTTGGAACCTCCAAAGTGGTGTGACGATGATGTAGGCGAGGTGCTGAAGGATGCAAAGAGGTCGTTGGAGATCCAGCAAGAGGTTGATTGGCATTTGAGGGAATCAGGGTAGACGAGAATCTGTTTCTAGGGTTTTGAGATAGATCTTGAGGCGTCCAATTCGCCTGTGAAGTACTGGCAGACGACTCAAGGTCGGTTGAGTGCGTCGAGTGGACATTGGTGCTTTGTGTGGCCGACAATGAATGACCTCTTGCACGGCCTTTGTGGTAATGCGCTTTACCTAGTTGACCACTCTCTGGAGACTTTGGCCTCGGAACGTAGGCAGCATTTCCGTTAGCATGTTCCAGCGAGTGCGTGTGATCCACGGTACCCAGTCTCGATGGCGGATTATTTATTGGAAGGTCCTGTGTCTGCCCCTCTCCCATAGCCCCGTATCCATTGACTGTTGAGCTCTTGCTTCCGTTCCTCGAGTGTGTCTTTCCTGGACTATCCGTATTATCACTGGACCTTCCATTTTGTAAGGAGTGCAGGCTCGAGTTTACGCCATTCGATTCACCGAGGAAGACACCTTCAACGCGTTTAAATCCTCCTGAGCTCTCTACTGGGAGCCCATTCATTA